AAGAAATATGCTTTTCCTGTTAGAATATATGGGACTTTAGTGTCCCCAATTTGGTAAAACACATCTAGGAGTTTGGTGTCCCCATACCCCTATTTGGGTAATTTCATTCGTTGTTCCAACGAGTAAGTACAACTAAGAATCAGACTCATGTGTATACATGGAAACATACGTGAAATTATAGTAGATGAACAAATGGCCGCCACCTAGAAAAGACCAGACCCAAATCCAAAGCTCAACCTAAAATGTAACCATAACCATACCAAAAAACCAGGAAAAACAAAAAAGGCAAACCCCAGCGCAGGATATACCCCAAAACAAGCCCCAAACCAAGAATCAAAACCCCAACCAAGAACCCATGTTTAAAAAACCCAAAACCAATCCAATAACGTATCCGAAATAAAAACAGTCCTAAAACCAGGTACTATAAATTTGGTTTAGGAAACAAATCTACTATATATATAAATGCTGATGGAAAAATCAGCTCCAATTGCACTCATCAATTTTCCCGCCAAAAATTCTGATTCCTCCTAGGTATAATCTTATGACGGATCAATTTCCTTAATGATGGAAAAATCAGCTCCAATTTCCTTAATGATGGAAAAATCAGCTCCAATTTCCTCAATTTCCATCTAAATCTTATGATGGAAAAATCAGCTCCAATTGCACTCATCCATGGAGCCACGTCAAGATACGGATCAATTTCCTTAATTTCAGTATGCTCATTAAGAGTAAATATATAGTGTATCATCATAGCCTCAAAAGTCTACAACTAAATCCAGCTTCATACCCATAGTATACCCATAGTTGTGAATGGCGAATGGCGAGTGGCGGGCGAGAGGTTCTTTTTTATGGCAAAAAGCGTGGCGAGCAGCGGGCGGTCAAATGGCGAACATTATATATATATATATATATATATATATATATATACTCCCTCCGTCCCACTCTTTTTGTCCACTTTCATTTTTGCACACCATCCAATGCATTTAATCCATTTTGTCTTGTAATTTATATATTAAAAAATTATAAAAATTATATATTAATAATTTATATGTTAAGACAAATCAAACAAGATCACACATGACTATTTTTAGACTTACACATTGAGAGAATTTGATGAGTCAAAGTGCTTAGATGAACAGTTCTAAAAGTCAAAACTGGACAAAAAGAGTGGGACGGAGGTAGTATATATATATATATATATATATATATATATATGTATATATATATATGTATATATATATATGTATGTATGTATATATATATATATATATATATATATAGTTTAAGTCTAAACTTTTAGTCCTAACTTTGTATCAAACATATTTATCAAAGTAAAACATGAGTTATTGGTAAAACAAAAAACAAAATATAGTACTTAAAAAGAAAGCAACATATTTAATAATAATCCTCCTCCGTCAAAACAATAAGAAAACAAAAAAAGTCTGAGCCGGCTCTGAGTGCGAAGAATTGCGCTGTTTGGACTCGGGAGAGAGACGAGGGTCTGCGCCGGCTGAGGACTGAGGAGAACTTGAGGAGGGCATGAGGCTGAGTCGGTGAGGAGAATTTCGATCGACGGCGAGAGGGCAGAGGGTTGATCGAGTACTAGGTCAGCACGTTTTTTAAAAATAAAGTCAAGAAAAACCATTGACCTGCGCCTGGCGTAGATGGCGAACGCCTTTCGCCACAGTGTTTGGCGTCCATGGCGACCGCCTATGGCGAGATTGGCGTAAAACGCCTCGCCAGGTCTGAAGATGGCGTCAGATGGTCGCCACACAGCCATAGGCGCCTTAGGCGAGAATGGCGAGCGCCATTCACAACTATGAGTATACCATTGCTGCAAAAATACATTAAAATCACTTAATTACAAGACAAAGAATGTAACTTGGCCCCATTAGCACATGTCAATTACCCATTACAAGTGGTAAACACCAAATCAGTCTGTTCCAATATGGAAACTGCCCATGTATAGCATTGGATTCCTGCTATATATACCCTTCCACTCTTACACACTACACATCCGTAAACCTTACTTTCTTAGCCTAAAACCTTACTTTCTGTAAAGGCCATGGTGTAGTTTTGAGGTATGAATAATATTTCATACATTTTTCAAATCTTTGTACATTTTTTTAATTAAATTGTTAATTGTATTTTGTATATTTTATCATGTACCGTTTAAAAGTCCATCTTATTGATGACACTAGGAATCTATCATTGGTGTTATGGGATAAGCAATGCATAAGGATCCTTGGAAAGAAAGCAGAGGAGCTTTTTAAAAAAGTAGTAAGTTTTTAAATAAAATAGAGTTAAAAAAATATTAATTGGGTTGTTAACTATTCATTCTGTTCATGTAGGAAAATGAAGGGGAATTGCCAGATGAGATTGAAGAACTTGTGGAGAGGAAAATGATGTTTGAAATGGAAGTTTCAAAATCTCAGGGTGCACTATATGAAGACAGTTTTAGTGTGTCCAAAGCTGCATTCATTGATAAGCACTCCAATAACACCCCATCTACCCAAGAATCAGTATCCCAACCAAATAATAAAATGGCAGACATTGGAGGGGCAGGGATAGCTGAACATCTACAAGACAAGGTTTAACTAAGTCAAATTTTTTAGTTAATCATTTTTT